TGAGTAAAAGTTTTGTGAATTAAATTGAATTGAGTTCAGTTTAATTATTGAATTGAATTGCATTGAGTTCAATTGAATTGAATGGTATTCGATTCTCCCAGTCAATGGACAAGGTAATCTAATAGGAGTTATTCTTCAGTCCTTCTTAACCAGTGCTCTTCATTTGCTATAGTGACGTGTTGTGGTACAAAACTCAAGCCTGGAGAAGAACTCATTCTGCCTACAACACCACAAAATAGGCATAGTTATGTATGCCTATTTACATAGCTATTTACATAGTTACATAGACCTACATCCATTTTTTTTGGCATCTAATTTTCCTCTTTGTCATATTGATTTTACTTTGGGGGAAGCTGTTCTCCCCACTCTCAATCCCAGTTTTCAGTTTCCAGAAATTGGCACATGATCCACGCCTTGCCATTCAGAATATTCTAACCATTTGGCCATGGCAATTGGCTCAGGTACTGGTATGCAACCCAAAATTAGCCAGAAACATAAATCTGGGATTTTGTTTGCTAGTCAGGAATGAAAATGCTCTTTGTGCTGAGACTGATAATGGTAAAGACAACATACCCGGAGGTGCCAGGAATCCCAGTGTGGATATCACAGGTCTATGAATGAACTCAAAAGAGAGAAGAGCAGAGCCAACAGATTGGAGGGAGTTGAGTGGATGAACCAAGTCCTATGAGTGATGCTATTTCAGTTCTTGGGTCTAGAAAACGATCTCTGAAATCAGACTGGCATTCATAAATACTAACTCTTTGTGAGTTGGACAAATTTACTTAACTGCCTTGTTTCTTTATGTATAATATGAGGATGATAATAACACTTCAATTTAATCTTCATTTTGAGGATTAAATAAGATAGCACATGTGAAAATCTTTAAATAGTGCCTGAAACAGAGCATGATCAATAAATATTAGCTTTTGTTAATATCGATATTTTAATCCATGGCATTTGAGTTATGCACAGCAATAAATTCTCTTTCTCTCTGATTTATTTATTTATTTTTGCTTAAACTGGTTTGAGTCGGGGTTCTATAACTTTCAACAAAAAGAGTCTTGTCTAAAACAACTAATATGAAGCATAAAGCCCCTGAGTATATAGGTTTATTGCAGGCCAAATTCCCTTCTGTGGGCTGAGGCAGAGAAGGGGGATGGAACCAATGGACTCTGGACCATCTGGCTCTCCTTAGTTGATGTCTATCAGTCATTTTATCTCCAACTGCTAGTTTGGAAAAGAGTTTCCTCATCACCATCTTATTAATATTCACAAAAATTCTCCTTCTATGTTCCCTGCTATGATGATTTCTTTTAAAACATATATAAAATGCAAAAGGTATGAAATTAAATGAGAGCGAGAAAATAAAAGACAATATTTATATAACTAAAACACATTTTCTGTTGCTTTCTATTTCTTAAATTTTAAGGTGAAAACTTTCTCCATAGTGGTTTAGAGTAAATAATAACATAAGTAAGTAGCCTACATGCTAAATAGTATAATTTTCTTGGTGTCGATTTCTGGAGGGATATGCAGGGGATTTGCATGCTTAATTCCCATTAGCACCTGTCACTGGGATTTATTATCCTAGAGTTAATTCTCCACTCACTGCAGCCAAGAAAAAGGAAGCCCTGGTACATGGGTTTAAATTAAGCTTTTTATTTTTCAGAGTGAGATAAATTTCATGTCTGTTCCTTAAACACCTATAATATTCCAACTGTGGAAAATTCATATTTAAATTTATTTTTGGCAAAAATTTGCCCAAATTTGATTTTATTCAACAACTAGAAAAACGTGTTCATAATTTGAAAATTTGCCTTGGGGGGAGAAAAGAAGTCATAGTCAAGGACTTAGATCTGTTTTCAAATCCATTGGCTCTCATTCTTCCATTTAATATTGAATTAATGTTTATTGACCACCTATTATGTGCCAGGCAGTTTTCTAGGTTTTGGGTATAGAGCAGAGAAACAACTAGGAAACCCCTCCCCCCAAAAAACCATATTATTGGAGAGTACATATATATACACATAGACACATATGTTTGCATATATGTCTGCATACACCTATATATAGCTATGTATAAATACATGTACATACATATATGTGTTTATATAAAAGAAGCACCGGATGAAAAATCAATCCTGGTGAATATGATTTAGTGTGATGAGGTGTGTGCTATTTTAGGTAGTTGGTCAGAGAAGGTCTCTCTAGTAGTGACATTTGAACCCAGATCTAAGTGAAGGAAGTTAGCAGTCCTAAACTCAGAAGCCTATGCAACACTGCATCATCTCTTTCATGAAGAAAAAACTAGGAGGGATGTTTCAAGGAAAGTATCATTTGCAACCATCCATTGTAGGAAACTCAGTTGCTTGGTAAAGCTGCTCTATCTGCTGGTACTTGGCTTGTCTTTGTTCAGGTGCTGTCCCTCTCCTCCCCCTTTCCCACATCATCGCCACTGACTGTTACTCAACCCATTCTCCTGTCCTCTTGGAGCTGAACTTCAGTATTAAACTTATTTTCCTTCTCTTATCTTCTACTTTTCTTTTAAAGAATTAATTTTGTGCAGTATCTGTCATTGAGCACTTCAATGCCCCAAACAGGATTATGTAACAATTTAATTTTAGTTAACTATCTAGACTTTGAGGATTTTTCCTAATGAGCATTTCTGGCAATCAATCAACCAATACTAACTGAACACCAACCATATACTGGGCTCTGTGTTGGGAGCTGGGGATGAAATGATAAACAAGACAAAATCTCTGCCTTAGAAAGAGTTTAATTCTAATTAGAAAAGATAAGCAAGAAAATTGTAAACACATAAACAAACCACTTTTAGATAGTGTTAATATTATTGTGATAAATGTGGGAGCTTCTTTCTTACTACTGCTGTCCTTGGAAACACTGTAAAGACAAATATGAAATGAAACATAAAATATAATTATAGTTTCTTCTGGTTGATGTCATCCTCAAAATAAATGACAAGTTATGAGTGACCTAGATGCACTGTTCAACATGGTGGTCACTAGCCATGTGGCTATTTAAATTAAAATTAATTGCATAAAAATTAAAATTCCCAAGTCACACTAGCCATATGTGTCTAATGACTACCATTTTGGAGAGCATAGACATGAACATATTTGTCACTGCAGGAAGTTCTCTTGGACAACACTGGTCTAGATAGCATGCAGCTAATGGGAATCTTTTATCAATGGTAAGAATAACAGCTATTAAGTTTATGTGTTAGACACTTCACATATGTTTAATTTGTTTATCCCTCACAAAACCCTATAACAGTTACTGCTACTAGACCTATCTTACAGATTAGGAAACTGAGGCACTTAGTTTTATTGTTCAATATCTGTCAATTAGTAATAAGATATGTTAAATTACCCATGCCAGTCTGGTGCAGGAACCTACCCTCCTACCAAAATATCATGATATCTTGGTATGGGGAGCTAAAAAGGGTAAAGAAGAGATTTTAGCATGATGGGCTGTGCCATCATAGTAATAAGAAACAGCCAGATTTGTCAATGTTTTTGCCAAGTATGACTTTTTCGGGTCTATCCGACTCATCCAAGACACATTTTATTGACTAGAGGTTTCAACAGCTTGGCAGGCAGAATTGTAGAATGTAAGAATTGAAAAGAACTTTGAAATCGAAAAGAACTTTGAAATCATCTAATAAAAATATTTCACAGATGAAGAAACCGAGACATGCGGTTTACCTGACTTGTCCAGAATGACACAGAGAGTTATAACCATAGCCAAGATTAGACAGCAAGCTTCCAGCCTGTGTGTGTGTTTACACATCGCCCCTTTGGCACCCAAAGAGTGTAAAATTTTCCTGATATATTATTTATTATTAGCTTAGCAATGTACTAATCTTGGGAAGTGGTTTTATTCTTCCCAGAATGTGCAAGTGTGTATTAACCTTTTAATCCATCACTTTCCGTTTGTCTAGCCTTCCTTATTTTATCCACCCATTCTTACATTTCTCCTTAGCTAGCCAACCAATTCTCCCCTGAAAAAAAAAAGGCATAAAAAATCATAGCAGTTTGAGCCTTTACACACACCGTTAGGAGTTTGGAAAACATGTCATAGGTTCCACCATCACTTTAAGTGAGTCTCTAGAAATCTTGTGCATTGTTTCTGAGAGTTTCTCCTGTATTGTATCATCTCACCAAGAGGCACGCAGGTAAAAAGCTCTGTTGAAGAATGAGTTTTCCTTGAGCTATTTTACTTTCTGTTCCACGACGGAGAGGTTATAGGCGCCTAGAGCATAAAGAAGTCTAAGTGGAGCTGACAATCCCGAGATTGCAGCCGGCTGGGGCACTGCAAAAGCTTCATGCGTTCTTCCCCGCCACACAGGACTTCAGCTCCAGTCCGAAGCCGGCTTCATCAATCTCAAAACCCGAAGTGGTAGAACTGTCCAGTCCCCGGGAGTCTGGCTCAGGCCTTGCTGGCGCCGTGGCGAAGCGGGTAGGCAGTGGGCTGAGCTCCACAGGACACAGCCAAGTGGCCCGGGGCCCGCGCTCCGCTCTCGGAGTCCCGCTGGCCGCCGGGAGACAGGCGCTCCCACTCCCCGCAGCCGCCGCTTCCTCTAGGTCTCTCCCGGCTCCGCGGGTAAACCAGCCGGTGGTCGCCACCTCCCGCGCCTGGTGCGCATCCCCCACCAGTCCTAGCTCAGGAGAGGAGGCCGGGCCGCTCCCGCCGCCGCTTACCCGACAGTGGAATTGGGCTGCGTCCTGCACGCCTTCTGGGCGAGCCCCTCAGAGCACCCAGGCGCCCCACACTGGGAGGTGACACTCCTTGGCCTCACAGCAGCGGCAGTCCGGACGTCTCCACGAGTAGTGAGAACACTGAGATTGGAGACCTGAGCGCTTCACTGTGCCCAACTCCCTCCCTTCACTCCCTCCTCCTCCCAGTTCTCTCCCCGCCTTGGCCCGCCGGTGCCCGTGTTTGTTCGGCACTGGCGAGGGGACCCGGAGAGCAGTCCCAGCTCGGTGCGCGGCTGAGCTGCTGCTGCTCCTGCTGCCGGGGAGGAGCGGCCAGGTGGCCGCCTTGCTCCTCCCCGTACGTCCCAAGTGGGGGCAGAGCAGCCCTTCACCAGCCTCCAGGTAGAAGGCACAGGGAAAGAGGGACCTTCAAACTCCTCCTCAGCGTCCCCTCTCCGCCCACTTTTGGTCCCTGCCCTTGGAGAAAGTGGAGTGTGGCGCTTGGTTATCATTATCTCTTCGGACTGCTTCGCGGTGCACGGATTCAGCTGTTGCCCAGTGGGGCTTTCCGCTGTTGGCGTGTCTGTGTGCTTCCCCCCGGCACACCTCTGTCGACGATGAGGAAAAGTCTGCGGGCGACAGAGGCCCTCTGCGACTGGGTCTGGGATATGTACTGCAATGCTCCTGCTTCCTGCCCTGGCCCTCCTCAGCACAAGGGGCACCAGCTCCGCCGCTCCAGGTAAGGGGGTCCGCCAAGCTCCGCGGCCACCTCCCTTCGGTTCTTCCTTCCCTCCTTCCTCTTCCTCCCCAGTGCTCCTGGCTTCCTTAATCTGCCTCGTTGCACTCAACTGGAAATCACTTTACATTCTGCTTTCCCAACTAGTCAAGAAGCTCTGGTTATTATTTTTAATTTGTCTTCCAAGATGGGCATGGATGGACCAGGGACGCACAGGGTGTGGATATGCATCTGTCTGTGGGCATGTGGGCGCCTTGGTGTCTTTTGCACTTTCCGCTCCACACGAACGCGTTGTTGAATATTGTGCACACAGAGATTTGGAGACACTCTCCGTGCGGGTGTCTGTGTGACGTGCCATAGATGCACCCTGGTGCACAGAGGCTCCCCGCGCTGTGCCACGTCTTGGGTTGCGGGATCTTCAGTGAGTCTGTGAGTACGCCAGGCGCGGAAGGGCGCTCAGCTAAGGAAATGTGTCCATTTCGGCAGAGGACTCACAACCCGGTGCCCCTGCTGCTCAGGGAGCTGTGGAGGCACAAAACACACCGGACCCTGCGGCAGACCCAGGGGGCCTCCGCACTCGTAGCCTCTCGGCGTCTTCCTTCCAGCTGGCGACAGAGAAACTTAAAACCCCAGAGCTCTGGGGAAACGGACTGGTCGCTCAAACCAAATCTGAAACTCCTTGGGTAACCGGCCAGTTTATAACTCTGACATTTTAATTTACCTCGTCTGAGATTTAAAATAAGTATCCGGGGCCATGGGCAAAACCGGGGTTGGGGGAAGAGCGGCGGGGAGTCGAGGGTGGGTAAGGAGGAGGGGAGGAATGGGGGGGTTGATCACCTAGCTCCCTTGTTGTCCCCCGTGTTTGAATTGGTAGCGGCAGTTCCCAGCCTTCTGAGCCCGGGAAGCTGAGTGGAAGGAAGACCGAGAGGAAAGAGCCCACGCTGCCCCCTCTGTGGGTTCTCTCGGGTCACCTGGGCTCCCAAACTCCTGGCCAAGCAAAGCGCCAACCTGGGTCTTTCTGCCTAGTTCTGTGGCGGTCGCTGGCTCTAGAGAGAAGCTCAGCTTTTCCTTGTGGCGGGGTGAGGTTGCGGGTGGGAATGGAGGAAGCTTCTGCAGCATTCGGAGGTAATCCAGGCATCCCATCATCTCGGTTACATTTCCTTTAAAATTGGGAAAACGAAGAGGGTGCAGCGATAGCCTCAACATCCAGGGAGCTGCACAGACCCTCGGGAGTGGGGGGGATTGTCCTGACAGCGTTCGCTCTGACCTACTAGGGCGCGGAGGCGAGGGCGTGGGGGGTGGAGGGGATCGCTGAGCTTAGGCCAGTGTAGTCTGGGTGGCGAGGTAAGTGATTAGCAAGGCTTTGTGAATTAGCTTTAGCTACTTCGGGATTCAATTTTCCTGCTGCCGCGCTAAGTGGCCACGCTCATAAATCCTTTCCTCCTTGCCAGATGCCTCCCATCCCGAGGTTCTGTCCTGGTTTTCTTGTGCATACTTCCAGAGCTCATCTGTCCATTTTACAAAGGAATCTCCACTGAGACTAATATGTACTTGTAGATTTCTTGAAATTGGTTAAGAAGTTCTCAGGGCGGCGGCCAAGGGGGCTTAGAGGGGGGTGTTTGGAAGTTTAAGTGGTCAACCTGAGGAATAGTTGTGGAATCAACTCCGTGAATCCCCATGGCATTCTCCTGCTGTTATTGGGTGCACAGAGCTGGCGTGGGGGCTGGGAGGGGGACCGGACAGTGAGAGAACTGTTTGGAGAAAGGGCAAGTTAAAGTCCTCAAAGATGCCAAACAGGAGATATGACATTCCTGCCCAGAGCTTACTGCAGCCAAATTAAAAAAGATTGCATAGGAAAAAAAGATTAATAAAGAGAAAGTGGAGATTGTAAGTGGATTAATATTAAAAAAAGAAGAGAGAAGAAATGAAAAGAAAAGATGCTCAGGATAGACAGCATTTGCCACTTGGACTGTTTTTCTAATTATAGACCAGGCAAGCCAGAGATTGAGGATTGAACCTGCTCTTTGGATCATAAGTGGAAAAGTAAAATGTAGTCTGTTGGGTGCCTGTATTTCAGTGCTAGTGTCCTCCATTTAGTTCTTTCAGCTTCTGGTGAATAAACTGTGTTTGGATCTCATGGACTTCGAAAGACATTCTTCTACCTCTTTTATCTTTGTTATTCTCCATGTTCCCTGATACCAGCTCTTCCTTGTTGTCTGTTACCTATCAAAACTGTAGAAAGTGCCAAACTCCACTATCAGCTATTGTCAGCTACCAGCAGCATCTCTCTAGTCCATCCCCCCAGCCTGTTTACTATCCAACCACTAGGACAATTCCTTCCCAGAATCAGGCTTTTATCATGGTCTTGTGGTCAGTTCTCCTTTTCCTTCTAAATTCTCCTCCTTTCTCCTCTCTTTGAACTAAGATGCTAGTAGTGAAACACAAGATGCTGTCACTCCCTGAAGGTATGATTTCCATGTGCTGAGGATTTAAAGATCAGAATGAACTATTTTTATGAATGGCAGTACATATGCAATTAAGTTAATTTAAGCATTTTACAATGTGGATGAGGTTTTTATTCTCTTGTTAGGCAAGTACTGGAAAAATTAGAAGTTTTTAAGAAGTATGTCTCTTCAGAGATAGCCAAGAAAACAACACATGTTTAAGACGAAAAAACACAGTGAGGGTTATTTGTGAGTGTAGTGCGTTTTTTAACTGTGGTTTAAAGGAAGACAGCAGTCATTTTAAAGAGGTCCTTGGGACAGTCTCTAGACTTTAGGCAACAACTTTCTCCTTTCTGGCTATGCCCTAATTGTTTCATTCAGGATTGCTGGGAACTCCTGGCTCCAAGGAATTTATAGTGTTTCTGACTTCCAAAAATGAAAGATTTTAATAGGAAAAGTGTGTGTGTGTGTGTGTGTGTGTGTGTGTGTGTGTGTGTGTAGAATTAGTGCCCTCCTGTTTTATAAATGCATTTTATTTCTGGACTACACAGATTGATATTCTGCTTATCTAGCACCAACTAGTGTTTTGAGTGTTAACACCACCAAACTCAGAACAGAAAATTACTGAAGATTGTAATCATATTTGGATAATCCTCTACTGTCATAAATTAATCTATACTATTTTTAAAAAAACAGTTACTTTAAACTATTACTTTAAAAAAGTAATATACTTTCTATAACAGAGTAAAAATTACTTTCATGTATATATGCATATTATTGTGATACAGCCAGACACTTGGCATTAAAAAAAAAACCACTGAATTTCATTACAATTATGCTATATATTTTTCCATTTTAGAAGCACAGTTAACTCATAAATTCACATTTGGAATTTTCAATAAAGAAAAGTAGGCTAGCTTACCTTTGTTTAGAAAGATAATTTATTGCATTCTTGCTTAGGGAATGCTTAAAAAGGCCTCAGAAAACAAATTTCTGAAGTACTTGCAAAGAGTGAGGAACCATTAGATTGTTCACATTTATTGACTTCTTGGCCTTCTGTGTTCTGGATACTGGGGATTCAAAGGTCAACAAGACAGAGTCCTCCAGCATCTCCTCTTGCAGTCCTGATCAGAATCCATACTGATCTTTTTTAAGTACTCCCCCCCACCCCAAGGACATGAACATGAATGAGGTATGAGCTCTACTAGGCAAACCCTCTTTGCTTATTTATAATTATTGTTGAGATTTAAAAATAACTGCTCTCTAAGGTATGCTAAGTTCTCCAATGAGTGCGAACAGAACAGCCAGAGCGTGGTCTGTTAGGCCTTAACTGCGATCAGCAGTTTTCTGATTCAGGTCATGGCTTTGCCGGAGCAGCAGAGGGAGTCACTCAAAAGAAACATGGAAGTTGCAGGCTGCAACCACCTCAGGAAGATAAGGGCCGAAAGCGCGGGACAAGGACTGAGCCAGGGCTCTTGCCTTCCGATTTTGGCCTACATCTTTTTCAGTCTGCTTTTGTCACTGTGGGAGTTAAAAACAAACCTGTTCCCATTCCCTCACAACTTAAAAACTTACTAGCTCATTTGGATAGTGGTGGTATTAGACGTCAAGTTCTTAACAAACAAGTAGTGAGCACTTAGTATGTCCCTCCTGTGTGCTATTTGTTAGGGACACAGAGTGGAAGGAGATAGTTTTTCAACCTTCAAGGAAGACACATTTATAAGCATATAATTATACTTCGCATTCTGAAATATAACAGTGGGCCCAGGTATGGTACTTTCTGAACTCTAGCATCCCAAGATAGTAAACATAGGTCGGCTAGGGAATGGTGGCCGGGTTCCGAAATGTCTACACAGGGGAACTTGAGGGTGGCAGTTTGGCTGGAAGTTTGCATTGCAGCTGTTTTATATTGACTCTTATGTAGATTTAATATTCATTCGGTCTGGTTTCGGGGAGGCACAAGCTAAAGACTGTTGGTGGCCTGTGCCCCTCCTGCCAGTTATCTCAGCGGTGACCACTGGCTCCAGGTCCTGCCTCCAGCCCTCCCAGGTGTCTGGCTGGGAATGAGTGTCGCTGTGCCCCAGTTTCGTCCGACATACAATGAGGAAAATATTAGACATTACAAGTCATATTGGGATTGAATGAATGAAGACATGGAAAGTACTTAGAGCAGCATTCTTTGTCTTCCAACCGTGTAAACCACTGGCAAAGAAATCTAGAAGTTGAAGAAATTGGGGTCGGTAATTCCGAGTTCAGAGTGACATGCATGTAGATTCTGCTTCCCCCAAAGCAGCGCCTGGATCCGGCGAGGAAGGGATCCAGAGTGGATCACTGCAAACTCCTGGGCGGTACTAGGTTCTGTGAGCAGTGTGCGGAAGCTCTCTCCGTTCATAGTCCCCTTTCTTCCTTCTGTTCTCTCTGAGGAAATGAACCAAAGCCAGTTGTGAAAATGCCATGTCCAGTCACTGCAGCTAGGTCCTGGATGGAAGCTTGACTTTCTTTCTTTACAATGAATATTGGGGGGGGGTGGGGGAGGATTTTTCAAAAATACATAAACAC